CCTTATTTGCAATTATTATCGACTTCACTATTAGAAAAACGCATTATTATTTCACGAGGGGCAGTTTATTTTGAAGAAGGGAAGCAAATTTGTGCTTGGGCCAGGCAAATTTTAAGAACAATTTTTGCCAACGGCAACAAATATAGCAACACTTGAATTGAAGTAAATTTCTTACTAACTGTACTTTTTGGCCCAGTTCATATCAATTATGCACAAGGCCATTGTGCATAAAATCACGATGTATCTTAACATACATCTCGCCTTTGGCCCGGTTATCACGGCTATCCCTATGCACACCGGCTTCTCATATCTTCCCATTTCTACCGATCGCTGTACCCAGTGACTACTTATACAACCCAAGTACATTTTTACTATGCCCTGATGGCACTCAACTTATTATCATGATAAGTAGGTTTCGAGATTATCAGCCGATCTTAAATAAGGGTTATAGTCCCCCTATCGCGACCAGCCCCGAGATCTGTACCTCTGCAGCTTTCAGTCGGTCATCATAACCTCAGCAATCAGCTACTCCCCAGATACGCGCAATAAGAGCTTACATTTGCTGGTCATAAAATCGAGGCTTTAGGTAAACTATACATTTAATTGACATTTGGTTCAAATAGTTCGCTTGAAGGCAGCAAGCCAAGTGTGAGATGACCCCTGGGGGATTGGTCATTTTGGACAAGCTTGAGGCTTGAATAGGACCTTTGCGATTAAAGGCACAGATAAATGACATTTCACAAGGAACTACAATATTATGCTTTCATCGTGAAGTTCGGCGGTTTCTTCTGCCTTTCCACACGCTTCTTTGGCCACTTTTAGATGTCTTTCGAGGTACGTAGAAACTTTTAAACCTATGCCTTCAGACCGGCAACCATGCTCGTTTTTGCACGAACTTTCCTCCACAATCTCTAAGATCCCCTCGTCCGAAATGCATTCTTGTAAAGAATTCATTTCGTATGAAAATGCATGACTGATGTTCCAGTTTTTACCACTCACTGAGTAAGACTCGAATGCCAACAAAATTCATTTGGCCGGGCCTACTTATATTTATAATAAGTAGGCTTAGTGACGATCAGTATATCTTGGCTATGAGCTTGAATCATCCTAAGACACATACTTTGACGAAGAGCTGATATTTCGGCTTTTGACATGCTATTAATGGGCCTCACATGTCATCAACGGCAGTCTTAGGTCTACTCATTTCATTGGGAGAAAAACTCCACTACCAGTCTGTTATCAGACCTCGGCTTAATAAATTTACGAGTGTGTAGGTTTCGAAATTGTCACCATCTTTTTAAGAAGAGTCTCCAAACCTACTTACCTGGAGTGCAAGTAGTATAGTCGATTTAAACATAAAATACATTTTTGCATCATCGACAATCCCATTACGAAAAGTGCCACAAGAGAGGCCTGGTATGCCTTGCAGTTCGCGTCTGTTCTGTGATCTACTGGCATACGTAGCAATGTAGCATAGTAACGGCATGTTGAAGTTGTACTGTGTACCGTCAGAGTTTCATTCGAGTTGGAGACGATGTGACGATGAGGTTGTCAAAATTGCGATCCTTTCGGAATGGGAGCAAGTCTTAGAAAACAAAGCTAAATTAAATTCTCTGACATCGTGATATCTACTCACATCGCTCTGAGAAATTTAGCTATCGGACCTTTATTCATTTTTTTATATTAATTCTTTTTATCTACTGATAGTCTTGAAAGCCTACTTATAAAATAAAAATAAGTAGTGTAGTCGATTGATATTGCAAGTAGTATAGTCGATTTTAAAATAAAATACATGCTTGCATCATCGACAATCTCATTACGAAAAGTGCCACAAGAAAGGCCTGGTTCGCCTTGCAGTTCGCGTCTGTTTTGTGATCTACTGGCATGCGTAGCATAGTAATGGAATGTTGAAGTTGTACTGTGTACCGTCATAGTTCCATTGGAGTTGGAGATACTGATGTGACGATGAGGTTATGTCGAACTTGCGATCCTTTCGGAATGAGAGTAGGTCTTGGGAAACAAGGCTAAATTAAATTCCCTGACATCGTGTGATCTACTCACATCGCTGTGAAAAATTTAGCTATCGGACCTTTATTCATTTTTTTATATTAATTCTTTTTATCAACTGATATTCTTGAAAGCCTACTTATAAACTAAAAATAAGTAGTGTAGTCGATTGTTATTGCAAATACAACTGCTTTATCGAAAATTCCACCACAAAATGGAATATGGGAAAATTCCTAGCCTTAATTGAAATTCACATTGGCCTTGTGCTCCGAGGACACACGTGACAAGTTGGCGTAGTGGTCAACATGTCAAGGGTACTGAGGGTACTGATGAGACCAAATCAGACGGGGTCAAACTGCAGTCCAGTCCAGTCTAGATGATACTACTTTTTCAGAAGCAAGATTATGTGAAATTCAATGGGAACTTAAGGTTTGCTCATCTGATTATGGGAATATTCAACTACCAGTCCCCTCATAATCGTAAACGAAATAGAATGAAAACATTTCATATATTTAATAAGTTTGATCACTTTGACGTTGAGACCGTTGAAAATGTCATTCCGGTATAAGTGGTCTCTCCTTTTGTCCTTATAGTGACATTGTTACTGACAGAAAAGTTCACTTTAGCATTTTGGAGGGTTATACACAGAGGATTACAAAGACACCGACTGAAACCATTGCCGAATCTTCTCTAGTGCTTCTGTGTACCTCTTCTTCGTCCTTGGCCTCAAGCCGGCAGAGCGGGCAGAATTTTGTCGTCATGTCGGGAAATTTTGATGCATATTTCTTGCGTACACAATTTCTCAGGCTTCAGTCTTCCTATTTTCGTTTCCTAAGTAGGCCTTTGAGGCTATCAGTAGGTTAATGAATAAGAAGCGTAAGTTGATGAAGCAGTGAGAGTGAATCATCTCACCAATATGAGTTGGCCTTTTGTTTCCAATTAATTTCGCATAGCCCTGCTTCTCAAACTGTATGCTCCTCCTGAGTGGATTTGCCTCATCAGCACCCCCAACGGGACTCGAACCCGGTTTGTGGTAATCGACTATACTATTTTTATTTACGAAAAAGGTTTCGAGACCATCAGTAAATCAGTAGTATGAGATGTATTCACCCCATTCCGGTTAATGTGATAAAGCACTGGTAGCTGAATTTTCCCACAATCATATGAGTAGAGTTGACGCTTCCATTGAATTTCACATAGCCTTGCTTTCAGAAAAGTCGTTCTTTTCCAGGGTGGACTGCAGTTTCGACCCCACTCAGGTCCTCTGTACCATTCTTCTCCACTCCTCCACACTGTTCCTCACTCCCTTTCTGTCAACTGAAGACGACCAGACGGGGACGCGTGTACCAGAAAGGCCTTTTTTGCAACAGACCCTACCGCCTCAGATGCCGTTGCTGCCCAGCCATATTCTCATCGAACCAACACGGACCTGAGCTCGAGGCCGATTTTATAATTGTTGAAAGTTTATGAAATTGCGTATGATGAAGAGATTCTGGTAGGCCGATCCCACGACACGACAACTCTGCTCTTGTTGACGCATACCCAAAATAATCCTCTGCAATTTCGATGAAGATGGGCTAAAATTTTCGTTCTTAATATGACGGAAATCATAATTTTTACAATTGCATTCAAACTAACGAAGTTAGCGGTTATCCCTAATTCCTTTTTTTGTTATCGAAATTGTCGCAGTCTCCCTTCGTTGTGAAGAAGTGATTTGACCCCACTTTCGCAACTTGGTCATATCGTCTTGTTCATAGTCCATACTATCCATGACAATTTCCATTGTCAGACTAGGGCAAGTGAGTAAGCAAAAAATTATTATATTGAAGGGGTTGGTACAAGGAGCAAAGAAAGGTGAATGTGCGTGGACAGAAGGAGAGATACCACAACTGTTGAGCAGACAATTGGTAGAAGGATCGACTTCACTTGTCTCTTTGATGAGCAAGATTCGACGACGATACCGACTATGATGCTGGCGAAACTTCTGGAAATGCTCCAAATCCACGGTCCGATGCCAGGCATTACAACATGACTACTGTAGCAGAAGACTCCGGATAAGGGGATTTCATCTCAATCTCCCAGCGATACGACCAAACTGGGAAAACGAGATTATACCTCTACCTTATACATACCTTAACTGTATCCTTTTTGATAAGGTGTAAAGTGATTTGGTTTTTTCCAGATATTCGTCACTCTAGAAGCATGCGGATGCGTTGGACCATTTTATGTGTGCGAATCTGCCTGTAAATGCATGTAACTGTACAACAATTATCAGAACATTAATTCACTAAGACGTTCCTCGAAGACCAGCTTATCTTGCCGTACAGCTGCCCATTTTCTGGCTCACGATCAGACCGAGGAAAAGGTCAGATGCCGTCAGCCGTTGCTATGACGTTGTCTTCGACTGTGTGAATTCTATCAGAACTTGGTCAGTCTAGATCGCTTAAGCTGATATAAGCACTGATAGTCGAGTTATTCAAGAATTGCTGATACTCTCTGAGATTGGTCTCATGGGAAATGACTGCTCCCTTTTTCTACCAGTCGTACGTCAGCCAACGAGCATTTGACGGAATTGCTTGCAATAAATGACATTGCCCACTCGAGGCAGGTTGAAATCTTGACTTCGCCACCGAGTCCCAGCTTTGATGTTGACCATCGTATGACGAAAGAAAGCTCAACCCGTTTTCAACCGAAGCGAGCAAGACTGTCTCGTGGACTGTGGCAACCTGAACGTCGTATAAAAAGCCAAACTGCTACAGTACAACTGGATTCAGCCGTAGTCTTCTGGTGAGATCAACCTACGAAACCCTTCATCATGAAAGTCTCCCAAAAGGTTTTCCTGTTCTTGATGGGCTAACGGTTCATCGTCATAATCGCAACCATAATCATCATCATCCTTATTATTAGTATCCTTATTATTCTCAGCTGCGGTAGCAGAACCATCGTTATTACCACCATCTTCATAATAATCGTTGCCATAATAACAGCCACAATCATCCTCATCATCGTCATCATCAGCACCATACGCATCACCGTTACCATCGCCATTATCATCATAAGCATCGGCATCAACATCATCGCAATCATCATGATCATTGCGCTGTCGCGTGTAAATTATTCCCAGCTCGACTAGAAAGGACACTTTCCTCTTTCATTCCTGGTCATTGGTACCCTTTCTGTTAATTTGTCACCATCCACTGACGCACAGACCAAGGATAGACCCAACCAGGCCTCAGCAACCGAGCCGACCGATTGCCTCAACTGTCGAGACGAGACTACGCCATCTCCACCAGTCGGTCACAGCAACCAGTCGCCGGCCGACACGATTGCCGACAGCGTCAATTTGGTCTCCACCTCTCGGGCCTGTCCGTCTCAGACCGACGATCGAGCTCGGACTCCAGGACGCACACAAACTGCCCACCAGCCTCACCAGCTCCAGGCTCCTCCCGTCCACCGTCACGGTCGAATTCCTCAAACGAGTCTTCATCATCCGCATTCTCATCCTCACCATCGTCATCACCATCATCAGCATCATCATCATCATTCTCACCATCATCGTCAGCCGCTGCAGCAGCATCAGCATCTTCGTCGCAACTACTGCCACCAACACCAACACCAGCACCAGCACCAGCACCAGCAGCGCCACAGATCTCACTGCTATGCGCCTGATGCTCTCATCGTGCGATCCAAGACGCCCGATACCACGCCCAAATTGATTCATCAGCCTCCCCTTCACTCCGACTGTCTGCAGCCTGGCAACAGCCCGGCCATCCCAGAGGCTGGAACTGTCTCGGCCAATGATAACTGCAACTCGATGACCGCTTCCGCAGACCGAAGTGTCCATCTTCTCGAAGCCGGCCAGCCAGAGCTCGTCGACAAATCGGTCGAGTCTGGTCGGACACCGGAACTGGACACCATCTCGCCGTTGATGCAGTCCCTTGTGCCCTCGGGACTCGGCTCTATCGTCACCAATTCGGTCGCGGTTTCTGGCAGCGCCAGCGGCCTCAGCAGCGGCAGTAGCAGTGCCATCGGCAACAGCAATAACAGCTACAGAAGCTGGTCGTTGCAGCCGCCGGACTGTACAACGCAAAGTCGACGGTTGAACGAAGGCCGGGCAGAACGTGTCGTCAGGCGGAATTCGGCCAGGAGACGGGCTGGCGAAAGGTGCGAAGAATGTCGTGAAGAGGAGGGTCGTCAGGGTCGAGGAGAAGAGCAGGCGACAGTGCATAAACCTGCTGAGGCAGAAAAGGAGGCCGACTGTGGCGCGAGGTTAGACGTCGTGGCGAGCAGGACGGATTGTCGAGGCGGGAGTGGTGGCAAGATGAAGGCAATCAGGGCTTCACGCAAAAAAGGTATCCATTCGAATAACCTCTTTGACGCGTTTGCTGTCTCCAATCCAGACTTTTATGGGAGCTGCATGTTTTGTTCGAAGTTCGCTGGGTTTCCAAGCCTCGCTTAATGGCGATGTGTGATTGGAGGAAAAAGTTGGTTCTTCATAATGAGCTTTCGTTTGTCCTCATTTATCCTTTTGGGCAATCTGTCTGCTCCGTTTTACATTTTCTGGTTAAAGTGAGGCAGCCCTCTTTGGAAACAGAGCTCAGATGACACATATTTCCTACCAAACTACAAGAGGATTTGAGATGTATTCACCCTATTTCTCTTAAGATGATGATGTGAGTAGAGTTGGTGTTTCCGTTCAATTTCACACAGCCTTGCTTTCCCAACACCATCTCGAAACTCTACTGACACACGAAAAATACAAGAGGGTCGGTGAATGGCATACTCGGAATGGTTCGATGATTTCTTGATCCTCGATCCAGACCGTATCGCAAGTTCAATCGAGCCCAGGGAAAAGGCTTGAGCTTGAGTCCCGACAAAGGCGCCGATGTGTAATGGTCGAGCCGAGATAATTTGGAAATGAAAATTCCAATCACCAATTAATTAAAGGGGTCCTCAAGCAACTTCCTGTTGCACTGATCAATTCTTTTTTGTGTCATAAGTAGGCTTTAGAGACTGACGGTAGATACGATACAAGAACTGTATCCACTCTACTTCATTTTAGGTGATAAAGGACTGGTGGTTCAATTTTCCCACAATTGCTTGAGTAGACCATACGTTTCCATTGAATTTTACACAACCTCACTTCCCCAAAGGTATCCTCTTTAAGACTCAACTGAACTGCAATTCCGACCTTGCCTCGACTGGTCTCTTCGGCACCACCAGCGGGACTCGAATCATGACAGTTCAGCGCATTGTTATGAGTGCTGTTGTGTCAGAGGAAAAATGTGAATTTCAAGTAAGTTGTATTGGGAGTGTCTTTGGAGCAAATTTCGACTCTATTAGTTATTTTTCGAGATCCTAACGAAACAAAATGAAGAATTAGCAAACACAACTTCGCTTCATCTACACTCTCACTGCAAAATTTGAAATAGGAGAGGCCTAAGCTCCTTTGAAATTCACTTCTGCCCTCCGAGCCATGGCAACTCGTGGGAGTCTGGCATAGTAGCCAATGCGTCAACATTGTACACTGCACTGTCATGGTTCGAGTTCTGCTTGTGGTGCTGATGAGACCGGTTCAGGCGTGGTTGAAACTGCAGTCCACTCGTGCATGGATGAGAATATCTTTTAATAAAAGCAAGTATTTGTGAAATTTAATGGAAACGTGGGGCTTACTCATCTGATCGGAGCCGAATTCAACTACCAGTTCTGGATCACATTAAACTAAAAAGGGTGAATACAGCGCTTATATCACTTATCAAGTCTGCTAGACGTACGTTCGGAATTGGGCAACACCAGCCGTGCATAGCTTTGGGTCTCTAAATCATGATGACAATCGACTTACTCTGCACACGCATTTGCGCAACCACGCGCAATCACACATCAAATCATACTATATGCACATCTCTTTATTCATTGATCTGATTTTTTTCAGTTCTTCTTTACTTGTTTGTATTGCATGTGAGGTAGGACGGGCCGGTCTTTTGGGGTCAATTTCTCGTGGACTGCTTCAACCTGAACGTGGCATTATAGCCTAACAGCTGTGGAACAATGGAAATCACCAAACGACTCTTTTAATCATTCATTTTTATGTGAAATTATCATCTCCATAACCTCGTTAGCACAAAAGGTTCCTCGGAACTCAGCTACTCTTCGTATCTACGACTTGATGCAAAAATGATCTCCAGCTCAGATGACGTCTGTCATATAATGAATAGGGTTCAGCTTTACCTCAACCGGTACCGAATATGGATTGAATGTCGTATGAGAATCAAATGACTGTGGAGTGACGTGAATTGGCTGTTTTCTCATGTTGATGCCGACTGATGGATCACGCATTGGTCGCTTTCACACCAAGCGACTGACACAACACAATAAGTTGGTCAGTCAAAATAGTTACATTCTGAGGGCAGCAGTTCGGCTGATCAGTCCAGTCGAGATGTCTTTGAGGGGCTCGTTAAACCAGCTCGTCTAAAACGAGAAGAACCAGACATGTTCTACATGGGTTGACTGGAACTGACGACAGCAACTCGAGGTTCACTTTACACAAACATCAAATGAGGTATATGAGATATATTCACCATATTTCGTTCAATGGCATAAAGGACTGGTAGTAGAATTTACCTTAGCAACACCTGCAGGGGGGGTCGAACCGTGACAGTGCAGCATGGAAGCTGGTAGTCTCGAAACTCTGCTTATATGCGAAAACAAATGAGGCAATTTGAGAGTCTCTTCTTCTTAGCTGGCCGGAGAGCAGATGGAATCTCACGATGACTCGAAAAGGACCGCCTGGAAACACTCTGCCCGTCAGGCTGAGGATCCTCGCCACTTGGCCATGCTTCTGGAATCTACCCTCTGCTCTCCTCTCTTCTCTCTTCTTCACTTCTCTGCTTCTTTCCTCTTTCCACTACCCTACATAGCCATGTCCCCAGCCTACCTCATGGGCCGTAGATTCGCTCTCCGTCGCGGCTACATGCCACATGACACAGGTCCTTTCGGGCAGGTACCAGATAGTGAACTTTGACAAGTGCGGCCACACACAGACAAGCATAAGAGCAGACAGACAGGCAAGGAGCGGCCTGGGCACTCGTCTCACGGGGCTCTAAGTGCCGGACTTCTGGCGGAAAACGCAAATGAATTAATCGGAAAATCGGTCAGCCCATTTGACTTTATTGCATTCGCTTGGTCCCGACGGGAAACGACGTTGGCCACGGGGACATGTGAAGGGCGGCAAGAGATTGAAGGTGGTCAGACGTCCTGCGAGGATGTCTGCTGCAGTCCAGATGTCTGTTGTGTGCGCATACAAATGCGACAGATGTTAAGCACATGCATTCACATTAAATGACATGCCCTGCGACGTGTGTATATGACACAGGATATGATAGGAAGCACTTTTGCTAAAAACTCAGGTCACTTCAAATACTTTCGTTTCCTTCCCTGCATGTGGAGGAGGAGGCCTCGAAGACGACGCAACTCAATCTCCGTGGCTTAATTCTGTATATATGCATGTCATTATGTGCTTGTGTGTGTGTGTTTATCATATGGTCGCGCTGGCGGTTTAATGGACCCTTCATACTTCACTTGGAAGGACGGAGGAGAGAAGTAAGTTGGCCTAATGATTCCGGGCAAGAGAATTGAGAATTTCGTTGGGCGATAAGGACTCACTCCGGTTGTCTGAATCCGATGGTCTCTGTCGGCATTTGCATCCAAATACCGACTGTTTCTTTCTGTTCCTCTTTATTTGTTAGATTTATGAGGCATACTCATAGCATTATGAGGGCCTTCGGTGGCATTATGTGATCTGGAACGAAAACAGTTATACTTAAAGCTATACAATTGGTATCGATGCCTACTCATGAGTAGGCATCACGATGCCGTTTTTCACTTGGGATGAAATGAACTGCAGTTTCGACTACACCTGAACTGGTCTCATCTTCACCTTCGAGAGGACTCGAACAAGGGTAGTTTAGTCTACAATTTCGACATGTTATCACTACGTGAATTTCACACTTTGCACTAGGATCGTCCATAGGACAAACTTA